GTGTGCAGCACCCCACCCCGTGATGTCGAAACGTGGTCGAAAAAATGTCTGAAAATACCTTGGAAATTTGCATCATATGGTGCTTCACTTCCGGAGGATCGTTGGGTGGTTCGTGCGTTGCACTGGGTCCCAGGTGCTGCCGCTCGACGTGTGGGACGACAACCATCTGCCTGGCATTCTTCAATCGAACGTTTTTGTCGGCCGCGCAGGCTCAGAGGGTGATTTACAGCGGCGAGGCATCGACAACAAGGGATGCTTGACATGGATGAGCCTGCCAATTTGGCCATGCAACCTTGATGCGTGTTACGTTTTTTTGTGAACACAACAGTAAATACCTCTTGCCTTAGCCCTGAACGGGCCGCCTCCAGGTTATCAGGCCTGATTTTCTTACCCTTTGGGGGAAAAACTCTTTAGCAGCCGCGCTCATGCGGCTTCGGCTGCCACAGCGGCTGCTGCAGGCCCCTGCCAGCTTGAAAGCCCGATGCGCTTTGCATCTGCTGAGCTCCAGCTATGCCGCAACGCATTGGTCAACCATCCTTGCATGCGGCTGCTGGTTTTTCCGCCGAAGGCCTGCAGCCCTTCGTTTTGCCAGTCGCCAAAAAGTTTCAGGATATGCCGAATTTTTTTCCCCGGACTTTTATGCCTGCATTGGCTGCTAGAATGCCACCATGTGTGTATGTATGTATGTATGTATGTATGTATGCATGTATGTGTGCTTTTATGTATGCACTTACGTAAGCGTTTATGCAGCCAAGGCTTTCGCGTCCGCACTGCTCTCACGGCTGCTCCTTGGCGCAACAAACGTCCGGAGTATGCGCATGAGTATGCGTGTGAATATGACCATGAGTTTGGGTACAAGTACGAATGTGAGTACGAATGTTACTGTGAACATGAATGTGAGTGTGAACATGAATGTGAGTGTGAGCATGAGTATGTGTATGCATTGGACAATGAACTAAGAGATTTGAGCACGAGTACGAGCGCAAGTATGAGTAGGCGTATGAGTTATCAACCTTCAAGAGTAATGCTCTGTCGGATAGGATTTTGCTTCAAATGTGGGGTGCGGCTACTGGGGGATGTGTATTGGGTGCAAGGGTGCAAGTGGTCAGGTGCAGAGATGCCCAGGGCAGGTGATCCCACCCCACCCCCCGCTCCCACCACCCCGCACCCCCATACCCCGCAGTCCCCACCCCGCAGGTGATTGGCACTAACATTTAGCAATGCATTTCATGCCAGCAGTGCTTGAAATCGAGCGCTTGCACGACCAATAGCAAATTGGAGTTTCGTTCTGCGCCTGCGCCCCTGAGGGGCCGCCTACCGGCATGCAGGTTGACTGACATTTCATGCCAAACATGCTAAATGTTGTGGCGACTATGTTCATGAGCCCGGCTGTTCCTCAGGCACCAAAAAACAATCATGCCAAAGACGTGTCCAATCCGCACCACCGGGTGGCCAACCACAGATCGAAGCAAACGGCAAAAAGTACGAGTTTGTGAGAATCCTCCGTGGGCAGGCTTTGCGGTGTGCTGCCGCATAACAAGTAACCAGGCTCACCACAGCATCAAGGTCCTGCAAACGGTGTTGCAACGAAAAAGGTTTGTTGCAAAAAATGCGTATGTTTGCACGCTGCCTAGATTTGAACATCAACATCTGGTGCGCTTGATCGCGCGAAGGAAGATCCACAACCAAGCCTCGCGGCGCGACCAGCTGCGAAGGTGCCTGCGCTTCTGACGTCAGGATTCTGGTTTTGGTCGCATTCAAAATTGGACGAACTTCCTTGAATGCAGCATATATTTCCTGGCATGCAGTATCTGTGCCTGTGGTCGCTAGCAACAAATCATGGAGTTGAGGGTCGCTGCAATGCGTGCATTTGGATTGGCCATGCAAGTGGCTTGGATTTGGCCTCGGGCGAAGGTTCACGGGAGACGAAAAGATACGAATATGCACTGCCTATGAGTATGACTGTAGTTATGGGTATGAGCATGGGTATGATGTTGTGAGTAGGAGTATGGGCGTGACTATAAGTATGGGTTTCACTGTGAATATGACTATGAGTATGACTATGAATATGAATATGAGCATGATTATGAGTATGGGAATGGCTATGATTTTAGCAATGCAACTGGGCTTGGGCGTGGGCGTGGGCCTGAGCCTTGGGCCCCGAGTACGAATGGGCGTGGGAGTAGGTATGTGGCAGGTGTAGGAGTCGGAGACCCGAAGCGTTTTGGGCAGCATGGGCGGATGCGTTGCCCGTCATCCAAGCTAGGCTCCCACGCTTGGCAACTCAACTTGTGCTGCACGAACCATGACAGCAGCGCCGGATGCCTTGCCCACGCAGATGCGGCATGAAAACTGCCGTGCCCCAGCTGGCGCGACAGCATCAATGGCCTACGGGCATCACCCGGGAACCAACATTACACATTCCCAGTGATGGCCAGCCGCAGGCCAGCCCGCCAAGGAGGCTGAGGCGGCGACGCGGGCGGAGCCGTAGGTTACCGGTAGACCGTACACGTAGGGTTTCAAGCCTGACGGGACGGAAAGTATTGTGCAGGTGCAAAAGTCCGAGAAAAAAAAAGGACGCAGGATTCGGAGATGGGGCCCTGCGTCTGGTACGAGGCCTCGTGCGCGTTCGTGCGTACCGAGCCCCGCCGCCTGGGTGGGCGCGCCGGTGGTGGAACATCGTGTCCGCAGCCATGCAGCAAGCAGTGGCCGGCACGGCGCTCGGCTGCACGTGGCCAGCGGTTTCATTGGAGCAAGTACTCGACTGCGCGAGGGCCGATGCTGGGAATGGGTAGGTAGCTAGGCGAGCCAGGACCAGAGTGGGACCCCCGGTGCAGTCGTAAAAGTCCGGGCCCCACCCCCCCCGCTCCCCCCCCACCCAAAACTGTGCAGAAGGAGTAGCGCAGGAGTGATGGGATGCAGCTCGGAATTTCGGAGCATCCATGCCTGCAGATTTCCTGTTGGGTCGGGAGTTTTCTAATGTCGGGGTAACAAACATTGTGTTCCGGGGGCGGGGTTTTTATGAATGTGGGCAATCCTTAATGTGAATAAATTTTGATATGGCGCCGTAGGAGAGCTAGCTAGAGCTAGCTGGCCGGGACCCAGACAGGCAGACACAAAAAAAATGATACGCAGTTTCTTTCCTCATGCCACTGACACCAATGCGAGCAGTTTGTTCCGACGAATAGCGCGGACCGTACAGGCACATGGGAGGGATTTTTCATTTCTTGGCGTATCCTTCGTCGTGGGGACGTGTGTTAACGAGGCGAAATTCACCACCTCGCACAACACCTTGTTCTTTATTATCAATTTATTGCAAACAAAGCATGATAGAATTCTGGCGATGTCTCCACTCAACCTTTTCCCCTTTTTTGTGCAAATTGTTATCGCGGTCCCATCAGAAAGCTCCGAATCCATGTCGCTAAGGTAATCTGCTGAATCTGGTTTCCAGATTTCAGCGCGACATGTAATTCGAAATTTTCAGTAGAATAAACATTGCCACAACATGCCTTTTTTTTGTAGAAGAGCCATCCACGACACGAAATGAAAAAAACCGACCGCACCAGGCATGACCAGGCAAATAATTGCTATGACATGGTATGACCATGCTCCATAATAATAATGCTCAAACACGCGCACCTCCACCATAACAATATAACGCGGACATTCATTCAACGATCGCCTTGAATACATGCGCTTTTATAGTGATCTTGAATCATGCGGGAACGATTCAACCGCACGAGAGCTAATACCAATGAACACACATGTTCAATGTCGCCCTTAATGGAAGGCTATATGGGTAAATTGTTGTGCACCTTACGCCGCACGCAGGCGGTTTCTTGGCCCGCCTTGTGTCCGGTTTGGTGATGTCCATTTCATTCGTGCTGCTATGCTAGTGTCCATAGGATTCAGGTATTGAGGGCTGCGCAGTTTTTCGGATGGCCGTTCAGCATTTTCATTAGTGCGACAACGAAAACCAACAAAAGGCCCGCCGCCTTCGAACCTCCAAACGGCAACACCCCAAATGCACTGCATGAATGCTCACTGTTGTCGGCACCCGCATGCCCGCAGTCCCAATACTCACAGCTGATGTGTTGTGCTGACATTGGTTGAGCCATTTGGTATCATCCCACATGTGCATCAGCAGGCATGACTTCATTCGATTTGGTGTAATGTAACTGCATCGTAATTATTCTGGTTGCTACTGCCGCTCAGAGCACTTTGGGGCAAACGTGGGACCTGAAAATTTGTACATGTGGTGTGCCTGCAGCTTCAGGAGAATGTGCAGTCAAATCATAGCAAACTGCTATTCAGCGATTGCTTCAGTTTTGGCATTTGTATTCCTTTAGTGCAGACATGGGTTTTTGGGTGGAACTTCCCCTTTGCGTTTGTATGTTCCAACGACCACGACCGCAGCCACTGTCATGCCAAGTCCAGGATTTTTTTGCGGTATATTTTTAAAGGGTTGCAAAACCGGATGTGGGCATGGCTTGGGGTGAGCGTGTACATGGTGTGTTTGTGTCATGATGCTGTGGTAGGCACCGTGTGGTTGCCGACCAGCGCTAGATTAATCGAACAATATTTGGTGATTTGCAAGGCCCCACTTGATTGTACTGCCAGTTGTGGTATGCTACAACGGTATGAACAATCCAAACTTGTAATGATCCTGCTGATTCCATCCAGTTTTCAGTCCAAGTTACCAACACATGCCCAGCATCCCGTATTCGTTATGACTTCGCCAAGACATTTGTATACATTATGAGCTTGCGCAGAATCTATGTCACGTGTCATTTTCGCTGTTCCCAGGCCTGGCTAGCTGATTTGGGTTGTGCATAACTTGTGTTGCAAGCTTCGCAGCAAGCGGCGCAGTGGTGTAGAGTTGCTCTCGGTTTTTATTGGTTTGCTGTTGTTAGTATTCCTGCAGCTGTTTGTCTCATGTTCCGAGAAGTACCAGCCTTTATTCTGCCAGCGTGATTTTGTTGTTGTAGGAAGTTGGACATATGTTCAGCTTCCGCAAATGTGAGGACTTGGATCCGGAAGGTGGTCATGAATTGTTGTGCTTCCGCGGTCTTTCAGCGGATGCGCAAGATCAGCTGTTCCACAGCGTGTTTGCGAAAGGCTGTGAAGGTGAATGTGGGGGTTTGATGACCCAAGAAGAACGATCAAAATGGAAACTTCACGGCACTTCTGCCGAATACACGGTTGAAAGTTGCCATGGCGAAAAATGGCACGTCCAGGGTGAAGAAACCATGGCCTTGGATGGCATGGGTTTTCATGGCCGCCACCATTTGCCACTGCTTCACTCCGATGCGTGCCAGGAGTTGTTGGCTGCCTTGCGCCAGGCAGCCCCTAAATGTTCAGCGGCGCATCCACCAGCGTTCCAGCCGGAATACATTTCTGTGAGCTATGAGAATCTCGGGGGCCGAATCATCAAAGGGACATTGTGTGGCACAGCTTATGATGACGATCGGTGCTGCCGCCGTGGCGAAGACGGAGATGGGACTCCTAAGGCGTTCCTTTTCCTGGGCAGGGCTGCAATCACCGTAGGGTTCAAATATGATAAATCTGACCGACAGTGGCTCAAAGTGCGCATGGCTCCTGGCGACTGCCTTCTACGTTTTGGCAGCGCCCGCGCTTGGTGCATGGGCGTGCTTAAAATTGACAATTCTGCTCCAGAGGGGAGAGGCGACAGCAATCCGTGCCCATTTGATTTTGTCCATGTCAAAATTCAAGATCACCGCAGACTGCGCGAGGAGAAGCCTGATCTCTTTGCTCGGTGCCATGCCAAACGCATCGATCCCCAGGATGACAAGTTCAACATGAACCCCGGCTGCTTCCAGTACGCATACACAGTGCTAGGCCCTGGTGCAGACGGGCGCATCCAGTGCCGGGTCATAAATGACAACAAAATGCAGTTTGCAACATGTGCTTCAAGTGGTACACTGGGGCATGGTGTGACCAGGGCCAGGGCATGCTACGTCGATGGCCCTCAAAAGGGCGCAGGCAAGGGCAAGAGCAAATCCAAAGGAAAGCACAAGGATTGGGCACAGATTCCTGCTCAGAGCATGGGAGAGAATGCGCCCGAGCCTCGTCGTCGGTGGGCTGGGAAACGAGCCAAGGAAACGTCCGAAGATAGCTTGATGGGCGCATGAGGCCGCATTTTCTGCACGCAATTCAACCAAGATTCTCGGACTGCTTCGTCAGGATGTCACTCGCAGCATTGATATTGTATATACTTTTCCTGCATGGCACACCTGGCCGTAAGACCGTCCTTTTTTCGCAGCACAAAGCTGTGAGCACAAAGCTGTGTCTTTGACTCAGTGCATGCTTCCCATGCACCCTCGAAAGTTGAGTGGGCAGTTTACCGTCTGGTCGCATGATGCGCAGTACATGCTTCTTGTCGTGGGGCAGGCGCAGACAGCCCCATCTAGTGCTCAGCGGGTTGCATGCTTCTCAGGCTTTTTTTTGCAAGTTCGCGATAGTTTTCAGAATTCATTCTAAGCTCTGTTGCGCTTCTGAGGTTATGGTGCTTGTGCCTGGACTTGGTGAGCTTTAATCCGCGCTATGCAGGCCAAGGCTGCGTGAAGCAACGGGCACCCAAGCTTCAAATGCTAACCAGGCGAGCCGGCAACCAGACCAAAGCAGCCAAAGCAGCTGCGCAAGGCAAGGGAATATCTGTGCTTCTCTAGTTGTTTGATGTTGCAGTCTACCCAGGCGTGGGAAACATTTTTTAGGCCGCTCAATCCATGTCTCGGGATTGTTTTCGGCTTGGATCCGCATGTTCATGCTCAGGGAACTGCAGATTTCCAACGAAGAGAGGAAGCAATGGAAAGTGTTGATGTCCCATTATTTGCCCTGCAATGCAAATTTGCCACAACATGTTTCCGACTCCACACAGTGTCACATGGACAGAACCACATCCTTTCAAGTTTGTTCACTGGCCTTGCGAAGCTATGGCAACAGAATTGCAGAAGCGTGTAGGTGTGGCTTGGGGGGGTGGTCACCGCAGCATTTGTTTCAGGACATGTTGCGCCCTGATCGTGCAAAAGTTAGCTAGACATGGGTCCTTCAAATCTTGTTTCGTCATTCGTTGCTTGAAGGTGTTTTCGCTGGGCTCATCACAGGGCTGCTGATTCCAATGTGGATGTCGGAGTCATACTGCTACGTGGTTCTGTGCTGCTTCGTTGCTGGAGGCTGTGTGGGAGCAAACCTCAGGCATGCAACATTTGAGGCCGCAAGGTTGCAGCACAAGCGCCTGGCAGGCACACTGGAATATTGGGCAGCTGTTTGTGGCACCACTCCTCCTTGGAAGGACGTAATTATGTGGGTAGGCAGTGCAGGTGGTGTATCCAGACATTGGGCATAAGCAGAGTATGTGTGCTGCACCTTCTAAACAGTGTAAATGCGGTCACGAATATTCAGCTCTTTCAGCTCCTAATCGAGAGCCCGGCATTTCACTGCACGTTTAAGAAACTCTCACAGGTACATTTCTTTACCTACATGACGCAGAAGAGTTTGCAATGGCTTGGGTGACTGTTTGTTAGGCACCTTTCAGTTTATGATCTAGTGGCACCAAGTGTAGATTTTGTATGATTTTGCCAAATATGATCTGCACAGAACTCTTCACGTGGACCGCTGAATCTGGCAATAACCCGACGCATCATAAGGATCGCTGGGGCACCCAGGTACCCCTCTGTTCGAGCAACTCCCAACTTGCGCCAGGAGTTGGCCATGTATGTCGTCTCATTTGCTGTTTCTAGGGCAGCTTTGGGCAGTATTTCCAAATTTCACTTATGGATCCTTTTGTGCCCCTGTTTTTCTGCAGAGAGTTTTTTCTCGAACTTCCAAACCTAAAGCCCTAAACCCTAAACCCTAAACCCTAAATGAATTAGGTCTGGGTGCTGCCTACGACAGCAGCAATTCAAACCTACAGCCAAGCCATCGGGCACGCTCGTTTGGTGGCTATTCAGCTACTATTCGGTAATCGGCATTGGTTGCCGTTGTACGACGAAATCCGCAGTTGTGGAAGAGTTTAGGGCTCATAATTTTAGTTTTTGATCTTCGGTGTATATCCATGTAGGTGATGTCACAACTGCAGGGAATTTTGGGTTGAAGGTAGAAGTTCATCGGTACTTCAGTTTAAGAGGTTCACGTTTGTTTCACCCGACTTTCAGCCAAGCAGCCCATCGGAAACCATCTTTGCGCCGAGGAATGCCTGATTATTCAGTTGGTTGTGGGAGATTCCGCGCAACTTATAGCTGCTCGGAATTTGTTCATCAACCTTCTTCAGTTTCTGCATGCCTAAGCCCATTAAAAATTAGAGAGCTAGACACGCCCCAAACCCTAAGCTTGGTTTGGAGATTTTCAAACTTTATCTCATGTAGCTTCATATGAGGCCTGCATAATCCCATGGTATGAAGGTTTCGAAGGGCACTGGTCGAGCAGCACCCCTAGTTTGTGAGACCCCCATGCAAACCCAAGCCTCAGAATTGGAAAAACCGTAGATACTGAGCGCATGTCAGATGCTCCATTTCCGCCAATGGACCCAAAACATTACATTTCCTATCAGGGGATCTTTTGGAAGTCCCACGCATTGTGTGAACATTATGTATCCCTATACCCCACCCCAAATTCTAAACCTCTAAGCACCAATATGTAGGGCCTAATGTAGACCCCCAATTAAGAACCCTTTAATGGGGATTTACTAGCGATCCCACTGTTAAGGCCCTTAAAAGGAGGGGTTATAGTAACACCTGAACCCTAAACACCACAGTAAATGGTAGTTATACCCCGTATAGAAATATAATCCCTAGAATCCCTATAGTTTCCATTTTCTTTTCCATTATCCCATTATAACCCCTATATAACCCCAATACTAGACCCTGACACTAGGTACCCCAGTAGTACCCTTTTACCCTTTTTGTTTGGGGGTCTCCTTATTAAAGCAGATAGTAGGAAAAAGGGTACCCTCATTATTTAGGGTTTACTGGGGAACCTAGGACAAGAGCTGAGGTTGGCCGGAGCTTTGGCCGACACCACGTGTGTGCCAAGCTGTCCCCCAAGAAGACGCTCGAAGGCTTCGCGTCGCAAAAGGGTTTCGGGTTTAGTGTTTAGGGTTTCGGCCAGATTTGATAGTTCTGGGGTTCAGTTCGGGGTTTCGGGGTTTCGGGGTTTCGGGGTTTCGGGCTTGGTTTAGCGTTTGGATTTTCAGGGTTGGCGTTATGCGAAAGGATTCTAAAGCATTCAGGTGTTTTTCTTTTTTTTCTGTAAAAACTGCACATTATTCTGCAGGGGTTGTGATCCTGAATTTGAGCCTGCCAATCGTGTTGTTGTTCTGTCCTTTGACAGACAGGTTATGTTGGAGGATTTGTGCTCACGCTCCTGTACGGGAAACTGATGCACAGATGGTCCGCTGCGAACATCTGCGTCGTGTACATATTTGGCCCCGTGTCCTTGCATTTTCTAGAGATTGTGAAGCTGGCTCCCTTCAAAGAGGTGTTTTTCCTTTTCGTATGAAAGAAGATCCCCATTGACATAAAGAACTCGCCCTTGAACATGGGTCTTTCCTCTCAGACTCCTCCGACTGAGGCTGCCTTGGGGACTTGTATTTCTCGGCCATCAAGCGTCGCCTGTGCATAAAGGACCGGAGTTGTGTTTAGTCTTTGAGGAGTGCGAAGGTATTGGGATGTTGATCCACATATTTATTGAGTCAGACAGAACTTGGTTTTCCCGAGTGGCAAGCCTTGGAGCAACAACTCTGGTAAGAGAACGTTAGGGGGCTATAACGGTATACCTCAAACCCTAGCTACACTTAAATACCCCCTAGATAATCCTGAATAAACGCTGGGTTTAGGTCCTTTTTTCAACCCTGTCGAGGATTATTCTCGCATTTTATCTTCGCATGGCCGCTAAGATGCAGCTTAGGCAGGCGCATCTTTCTGTCCAGGTTAAGATAGACCTTTTGCCATTTCTTACCATAACCCCCCACGATGGCCTAAACAGTTGGTGAATCCCGGAGTCACTGCACCCTGGGATAGCTCTTGCGACAAGCAGGACCAGACACGGTGAAAAGTCACAAAAAACGGCAGTTGCAGGGTTTTCCATACTCTGGGTGTGAAGAGCTTTCTGGTGCGAAGCCAGCTATGCTTGCGGTTTGGTGTGGCAAGTGCCTCTAGTGTCTAGTGGCTGCAAATAAAGTAATGGTGCTTGCTTTGGTTCTGTTCGTCCTGCTGCTTGCTGCTGCTGCTGCTGCAGTTAAATCCTATCCTTGGGATGTATCAGTGCTATTCTGGCTTCACACCTGTGGAAGTTACCCCAGATATGTATAATACATATATATGGAGATTTCCCAAAAGTAAGGGTACCTTTTAGGGGTCCCCATTGGCAGGACTATAGTATATTGGCCCCTTAAACCCTAAACCCTAAACCCTAAAGTGGCAGAGGTGGGCTTTTGGATCGTATCGATTCCTTTATTTTCGCTGCCAACGCCTTGGTCTGGAAGGCATCTTCACTGCTTCATGTCGAAACTATGGATGCGTTTTGGATCCTCACGACAAGATTGGTAAGAGTTGTACTTCAAGACGTAGATGTAGGCTAGCTGTGGGACAAAACCTGCAGTATGAATTAGGAGGACCCCCGACCCTGTAATAGTGGTATGAAAAGGAATATGAGAGGACCCCTATAAGGCCCTTATATAGCCCTCATTATCCCTTATGGTCACCATAACTGGGTGGGGGGTCCACCTAAAGTATGGATCCTTGACTGGCTTGCCCGTCAGGCTGCTTTCCTGTCTCCAGACTAGCAGCGGCCATTGGCCCTGGGGTTGCTGACGTCGAGACCGCTGAGCACCGCCTATTCTCAAATGGCGGGTTTCGCGAACTAGGGCCCGCCATTTTTGTTGGATCCCCGATATTCAGGATCGTAGTATTTTGGGGTCTCCATTGGGATCCTCTATTTCTTAAAGCCCCCAGATGGGTGGAGCAAGCAAGCTGGGAGCAGCCAATCCCTGTGTGAGCATGGAGGCTCTGAGGGCAAACTCCGTCCAGAAGCCGCATGCGATTAGCTACAGATCTTCCCATTGAGCCCCAGACTCTGTGACTGTCTGTGTTTTCTAGCATGCCTGAGCAGTACCCCTATCCTGCTGTACTCATACAGGTCCCCCTTAAGTAACTAGAATATGCACTTCCACAAAATCATATGAAGACCCTCATATACTCTGAAGAAGTTTTCCTGTTATTCCTGCATTTAGGGGTTGAGGCTCATTGGATTCTCGCAGTGACGACAAAGGCTGCGATCAACAGGCGTGCAGCCTGCAGCAAGCTGCGTGAAATAAAAACAAGTTTTCCGGTAAGATCCATAGTATTATAGGGCCTGTGGAGGGTTTTAGGCTCCTTGCAGGCTATGATAGTATGATTTTAGACAGTGCTTCAATTCAGCTGTGCTGACTTCTTTCCACATTTTATTTCATCAAATCAAACCTACATACGGCTGATAGCTTCAAACCCTGAAGCGCAGACCCAAAATTGAAAAGCCGAAATGTTGCGCTGCCGTGTGGACTGAAACCTACAAAATACACCTGGTGATTTTCTTGACCCTTGTCAGGGCTCTGCAGGCGCGTATTGAGAAGCCTTGACATAGTAACCAAATAGCAGAAATGTTTTTGTAATATAGCAGTATAGGAATACTACAGTACAAATATAAGAATACAGTATTAAAACAGCACCAAAATCGTCATCATGTAGTAGCAATTTAGTCATAATATATTAATATTTAAGCCAGGCCCTAACCCCCCACTGCCAGCTCCTCCGCCTGCCATCTTTTATGGAGTGCTTCTGAAATTGCTTTAGGGATCCTGGCATGCTTCGAGAGATGTTATTCAATTCACGGGTATCGGGCTCCCTGAACCCCAGTCGCTGAACCCCAAACTCTCATCATCCTCTATACCCACATACTTAACCATAACATAGCTCTACACTAAATGGGGGTTTCCCAAAATTAGGGGTACCATTTTGGGGATCCCCAGAATAAGGACTATAGTATTTTGGGGTCTATATTGGGGTCCCCTTATTTTGGGAAACTACCATATGTATGCAGGATTAGAGCCCTTTTGCCCATTTTGGTGGGTATTGGTCCCAAGTTTTGCCTACTCAAACCCTAAACCCTAAACTACTTTACTGTCTAGGTTAATGGTGCAGTGTTGACAGGTGGAGCTGTTGGGTTACGGGCTTCGCCCTGGCGATGTTGGGTTTAGGGCTGAGGTGAGGCAATGTCGCAGGGGCTGACTGCCAAGTAGCCTTTGTAGCGATTGCTGTCCCCTCCATTCATTACAACTGTTGCTATTATTGCTATTATTCCTTTAAGGTCCATTAGTATTACTACTGTTACCACTATTACTATGGATGTTTTCTCAGTACTCTTACCATTCGAGCAATGTTTGAAGGCCCGTATAGGTTCCTTTCAAAACAGCAAGGAGAATGTGCGCGACCCCTAAACCCTAAACCCTAAACCCTAGGCCTCTAATGTGGTTTCATGATAGCTTGATGCATGGCAAGCCGTCCTCGACGGATGGTGGCTGTCATCCCGACAGCTTTACCTACCTTTCCCCAAAATGACCCAGAGGGTCCGAGTACCCAATAATTAGATCCTTTTAAAGGGGATATATAGGGGTATGTAGGGTTTAGGGTTTAGGGTCCAAGTACCCAATAGTTTGGTACTTGGGTTTTGGGTAATAGTAATTCTAGTACAGGTTTTGGGTAAGTATATGATTATTGGGTACTTGGACCCTTAGGGTGATTCTTCAACCCCCACAAAAGCGCCCACCGAAAAAGACGACTGTCCTTTTGAGTGCTGCCTTGAATTTCATGTTACTGTGCTAGCAAGTAGGCCTCCAAAACACCCGAAGGAGTTGCCTTACACTCCTTAACGCAGCTTCCTAGGCCCTCCAAGTACCCTTAGATGGGAGGCATAGGGTCCCTTCTAGTGGGTATTCAGGCCACAAGAAGGGGGCAGTTGGAGGTTTAACCCCAAACCTCGAATCCAAAGCACGCAAGCCTGATGAGTAGTTTCTATAGCTAGGGCCCCGTCTTATAAGCTCAAAATTAGTTGCTTCTCATAATCCATCCGTAATTTTTAGTCCAACCTCTAAGGCCCCAAACACTGAACCAAAACTCTGAATCCCAAACACCCCAACCCTGAATCCTGCAAGGCCTTATTGATCCTGAACTGAACCGTAAGCACCCAAACCCTGAATCCTGAACACCCGAAACCTGAATCCCGGACCCTAAGTGCTGACTTTTGAACCCTGAATCCTGGATCCTTGAACCCAGAACCCTGAATCCCCAAACCCACACGCCACCGGTGAATCAGGTTGAGGCTGAGCTGAAGGCCAAGGAGGACATCATGGACATCAAGGGCGGTGTCATCACGTGACTTAGACTAAAGTCACGTTGGGAAGACGTACAGGGGGATATATAATCTAGGGGGTATAGGGGGACCTAATGAAGAATATGCTTACTTGCTATAGAACTTGAGTCCAGGGGTTCACGTAGCTTGGATGCAGTTCTGAGGCTTCGACGTGCTCCTTAAGACAGAGTCCTCCTTGGGGCCCTCGCCTGGTATGTTCGGATTAGAGTGTAGGCTGTAGGGTTTGGGTCTATGGCCGGCGGAGACCAAGTTTGAGGTTTCAACGCAAGTAGATATGAATTTATTTGACTTCGGGACCTTCAGGCTGTTCAACACAGATTCAATGATCCCGGTCGACCAACAGAAGCTAGGCTAAAAATGCCTCCGCGCCTGGCCTTTGTCCGGAATGTTTAATTCTTGGTTCTTGAGAAGGTGATTTAGGGATCAGGGCTTAGCAGCTAGGGTATGTATAATTTAGGCTCTAAGGGTTTAGGGTTTAGGGTATAGGGTTCAAGGCAGGAAGGATCAAGTTGGATCTGGCTAAAATTCTGAGCCCTCTGTTCCCCGTCTGAACCCTAAACCCTACACCTAAACACTTATCCTTAAATCCTATGCCGAAATCCTTAAACCCAAAATCCAAACCCCTAAACCCCAAACCCAAACCCCTAAAACCTAAACCCAAATCACTAAACCCCAATCCCGGAACCCCTTATCCCTAAACCCTAGCACCCCTAACCCCAAAACCCCAATCCCTGAACCCATCATCCCGTTATCCCTAAACCCTGTCCTGGACCCCAAAAATAGGTAAACTAATAGCCGCATACTTTTAAACATAGCTCAAAGGGCATTATTCCACCTACTTTGAGGGTTCAGCGTGTCACAAGGTACTCCCGCAGCTCCACTCCAGCCACCATGGCGGCGTCACGGCCCGAGAGAGACTTCGCAGCTCGGCAACATTGGGGTTTAGGGTTTAGGGGTGTAGGGTTTAGGGGTTTAGGGTTTAGGGTTTAGAATTGGGGTTCAGGGTGGAGGATTCGGGTTTAGGGTGGAGTATTGGGGTTTCGGGTTTAGGATTGGGGTGTAGAATGAGGGTTTAGAGTCTAGAATTTAGGCTTGGGTTCTAGGGTGGAGGACTGGGGTTTAGGGTCTAGGATGTAGGATTGGGGTTTAGAGGTCAGGGTTTATGCTTAGGGTTAGGGTCAAGGTTAAGGGCTTAGCGTTTAGGATTGGGGCTCAGAGTTAAGGTTTAGGGTTTCGGGTTTAGGATTGGGGTTTAGAGTTTGTGTTGTGGCCATGCCCCTAGGAACCCTCGTTCCCTTACACCCCAACTCCCAAATGTTCAGCCCTATCTGCAAACAACCCTAAACCCTCATCCCTAAACCCTCATCCCTAAACCCTAAACCCTGATCCCTAAACCTTAAACCCTCATCCCTGAACCCTCAACCCCTAATCCCCCAAACCCTAAGCCCTAGACCCCAGGATCCTGAGTCATAGCCCCTAGATATGCATCACTGATCGGAATGCCTAAGTTCAATCCCTAAAACTTGAAGCCCGTAGCCTCAAACCGTACCGTAGATCCCAAAAGTAGATAAAACTAATGACAAAAACCGCCAAAAGCACAATTATTCTACATACTTTTGGGGTGCAGGCGTGTTCAGGTAATTCCTAAACCATGCGGAAGGATAGCCAGTGTGTTCTTCTCAGTCTCAATCCAGAGCCCCAAATGCCTCAACCCAGTTCCCCAAGTGTCCACAACTGTCCGAAGCCCTATATCCTCAACCCTATGGCCTTTGGTTAGCTAGGCACGCAGAATGGACCCTTAACTCTAGTAGTCCCTATATAGCCCACTATAGTAGTTTCCATTGTTGCTTCCATTCCTTCAGTCCCAGTTAACCAAAGGCCAGTAAACCTTGAAACTCGAGGTGCGGAAGCAGCCTTCCACTCACCACCACGTGCGTCAAGAGCACCTCCGGGGTGTGACGCAACTCATGGCATCTGGGGCTGTGAATACCTTGGGGACTCATAGGGTTTTGGGTCTAAGGGTTTAGGTTCAAGGGCTTAAGGGTTGGGGGCTCATGTGGTAGGTCGTCAAACTGAATTATGGTCCCCTTCAAGGGGGCTATGCAACATAGAGATAAGGATTTAGAGGGTTAGCAAATACCTCCGGGACTCATATTATGAGTAGTGTTGTTAGCGTTTAGCGGGGATGAGTCCCGAATAGTGAGAGTATACCCTCCCTTAGGTATGGTGTTTCTTCAAGCAGCGTATAATCCGTATCTGGCTCAAAAACCAAAACTGTGAAAACCTTAGGAGCTGAGTTTGAGGTATTCCGTGGTTTTGGAAAACGCGTGTATCTATGTGTGAGTTAGACAGGGATCTATGAGGTTAGATAGGGATCTATGAGGATATACAGGATTACATGAGGTTTAGAGCTTAGGCAAATTCCCCCTTACTGGAAAATTGAAGAAGAACATGAAAGTTATACAGAAACTGGCCGTGGTTTATAAGGATTAGGGTTGACATGTTAGGTTCTCACAGTTGGGATCCGTTAGTCTTTTGGGTAATTGTCTACAAGGCACCGAACTTCGGACAGCCCCCTCATGAAGCAGTTTCTTCACAAGCAGGGCCCTAAACCCTAAATCGCAGCCTAGTGAATGTAGGCATCATGAGGGACTTATGGACGGTCCTTCTCAAAGAGCAGGGTTACAAGCTGTGGTTGAGGTGCTGAAAACCCACAATGGGGTTTAGGGCTTGAGTGGTGGAGGGCTTTTTTGGGTGGTTTCAATGAGTCAATGAGCCCTGAAAGGATCGAGTTTCAGGGTTTGGGGCTTAAGGCTTAAGGGTTGGGATTTTTGCGGGTGTTAGGGGTTCGGGGTTCTAGGGCAATGCACCTTGAAAGATGATGTTTTGTATTTGTGACCCCAGTTTCAGGGTGCTTTCAGTCCCCAGGGCTTGGGCCTGCTTGTTTACGAATCTTAGAATTCACCTGGACCCCCCAAAGTGGGCAAACCAATGCCCCACAAATCCATAAAACAGTCCCAATGGCCATTATTCTATATATCTATCTCTCTCTATATATATATATATACACACGTTGGGGATGCAGGAACGTTCAGGGTGTAGCCAACTAATTGCCATATTGCTGTGGGCAGCGTTGCGGAAATTCATGAGAGTGTTTGCCAAGGGCTCAGATTAGGACGTGGGCGGGTGCGAGAGTCTGAAACAGCTCAGCTGAGGACTTCGTCAGCCAAATTCCTCAGAAACCACATAAAAAATATTTGCAGTGAGAGAGAGAGAGAGAGAGATACATATGTATATATATATACACCTGTATACATATATATATATGCACATGTATATATAGATATGTATTTTTATGTGTGTGTGTATATATACATATACATATGCATGTATATATATATATACGTATATATACATATATATACGGGCCCTCAAGCAGCAGAAAGTTGGCTTAGGATGCCATTCGACACCCTACGAAGCGGCATGCAATTCCTGCCTCAGCCGTCACGAGCCCAATTCTCCTGACCCGGGGCTCCCCCTAAACCCTGAACCCCTACACCCTAAAGCCTCACTCCGGATGCCCCTGAATCGGCCAAGGATGTAGTCCCACATACGATGCAGTGGATGCCCTGGGTAGTTCCCTAGACCTAAACCCCTAGTCTAGACCCCGATGTAATCGCCATCAGCTAAGGATGTAGTAGACACCCATGTGCGCGTGGCCTGGGAGCTAAAACAGCAGCCCTACAAGACCGACCTTAGAGCGCGGCACACGACGCTTCGTGTGGCTGCAGGCTGTTGTTGGTTAAGGTTTGGGGTTTTGGATTTAGAGTTTAGAGTTTGGGTTTCAGGGCTTTGATGTTTCGTCGCAAATCAAGAGTGAAGGATACGGTAATGGGGTTCGGGGATATATAGGGGGGGTCTCCTTCTTCGCGAGGGTTCAAAGGCTGGTGAGAGCTGGACAAGTTTCAGGCTTGAGTCCCGCTCTGTTCCCCAAATCTTGGGCTGCATACACTTAGGACATCTTGTGGGTCATTTTTGCAACTGAATAGCGTTCCTTCTGTCAAGCACGGGCATCGTTTATGTGAATCTCAGCATGCATCAGCAACGAAATGGAAAAGGCTCTTCTATGCAACATGGCCTTGGGTCCAGTCGTCGTCTTCCTAAATGCTAAGCTCTTTTCATTTGCTGCGTCACCCTGGCCCTAAGGGTCCAAGTACCTAATATTGATATATTTTCCCAAAACCTGTACTATAACTCCTAGTACTCAAAACCCAAATACCTTATTGTCTGGGTACTTGGACCCTCTGGATAGGGTACGTAATCAGCTCAAAGTCATCCTTCCCATGCGCCTGGGTAGAGGCATAGAACCAGCGCATATGCGCTTCGCGCTGCAGCGTGCCAATGAGACCGGAGCGAAGTGGAAGCAAATGTTCCTTGCCAAGTGGGTCATAGAAGGATGTTGATGCCTCATGATGGTTTGGAGTGGTTTTGCAGAGCATTTCCCTTGCTCTCGGAAGTTTGACGGTGTGCGCGCCATCCCGAATCCTAGCGCCAAAGCCCTCCGCTCCTGCCCCGCAGCCTTACCTGAACCCGCAGCTGATTGTCCAGAAAAACAGCCTTGCCGGCTCTTTTGAAAATGGGCTTTGGGCCATTATTTGGCTGATGTTTTGAGGTCCAGGTAAACCCAAATGGTAGTTTCCCAAAATGGAGGGACCCCAATATAGACACTAAAATTTGATGATTTTTTTTTTTTTATGGGACCCCCCAAAAGGTACCCCTGATTCTGGGAACCCCCTCAAAGTCCACTGAAAGCTGAGGTTTCGCCCTGGCTTTAACGATGTAGTAAACGAAGCCTTCCGTGTGGGCTGCAACTCGTGCATCCTCAGCCAGCTCTACCTCCGAGACAAGGACAGCTCCACTGGGGTTTAGGGTTTAGGGCTTTCAGTTGGAGCTTTCCTGCGACTCCAAACAACCAGAAACACACTGGGTGTTCCTGAAACATTCCAAACCCTAAACCCTAAACCGTGTCCTCTTTTTTTGGAAGCAGCTTTCTTAGTTCTGGTTGTTGGGGTTCCAAGGTTGCTCTGGGCGATTGAAGACTGGCAAGCCCTGAAAGCATTTGGGAACTGTCCCTAGGAATCCATGTATTCAAATGATATCTACATTGGGCACTAAAGCTTAAAGGACATTACCTACATTGGGCTATTTGAATCCCTAGCGTGTAGAGAGGAGAGGATGTGAGGGCATCGAGCGTGGGCTTTTAAGATTTCCGTGTATCACCGCTAGCTGTTTTGGGATTCTTGGTTCGAGGCGTTCTGTCTGCAAGTGTCAGCTTTAGTTGTTGAAGGCTTTCAAAGTTTGAGATTTTGCGTTTACACCTGGGGGTGCTACGCCTGGGGGTTTGAGGTTTAGGGCTCCCGGTTTGCAATGTCTACAAAGAGCGCTTGGGTGTGGCAGATTCAGTCTGAATACTGCCCCTACCCTGTAAAGCCCCCGGACTATTGCAATTCCGGTAAAGAATTGGCTTAGGATTATATAGGGTTATATAGGGACTAGATAGGGTTATGTAGGGATTGCATAGGCTTGTAGGGCCCCTTTTCAGGAGTAGGCTGGTAAAGGACATGCTGTTAGGGTTTTTATGACTGAGTGACCGAGCTCTACCTGCAATTTACACTGACAATGCAGGTGTAAGACTATATGGTAAAGATAAAGAGTCCAGAGAGAGGGAGAGAGAGAGGGAGAAAGAGAGAGAGAGTGAGCGACAGAGAGAGAGAGAGAGAGAGAGAGAAGGGGGGGGGAGTCATGCGCCAACTCTTCGGCAGATGTCCTTGTCTATGCCCAGATGGGGACTGTGCCATGGGGCTCAGCCCGGCGTACATTTTGAGCACCGCGCGAGGCACGTAGAAGAAGAAAAAGAAGAAGAAAAAGAAGAAGGGAGTTCAGACCTTGCCTGCGACTAGCTGCATTTTGCTGGGTTGCTGTTCAAGTTACTATATTGGGGAGACCCTATTATTTACGATATATACCCAGCATGGTAGCTTAATTCAAGTTCCTGCTTTTCGAGATTGCCAGGAAGCCAAAGAGCAGCTTCAGAAGCTTCACGTCAAGGATGTGAACGGCGTGGTATGGTTTGAATTGCAGCGCAAGAAGGCCGGCTTGCACAAAACCTGATGTGCTGCTGTATTGTTCGCATTAACCCTTACTCCAGCATAACGACACATATCCTCGCCAACAACACTCTACTGAAGAAAACAGCACCACACACTCCAAGTGCATGTGTGTAAATATGTTCCTGTATGTATGCTTTGTACGTCTGTGCATGTAGATACATGGGTCCTCCTTTCAGCGACCTGAATTAGATTGTTCTATCTACATACGTATATATATATATACATGTGTATATATGTGTATATATATATATGTATATATATATACCCATGTACGTATGTGTGTATATATATATATATGTTGAAATGTATGTATACGTGCATGTAAAAACTGTCAAGCTTACAGGAGCAGGAAGCGCTAGAAGCACACACAGAAATTACAAAAACAAGGTGCAGATGGAGTACATGAAGTCAGACCTGTTTAACATTTGCAGGCTAAAAGGCTCTAAGGCGCAGTGTAGGTATTGTTTGTATACTTGGACCCCTATGGATGGCCTAAGCTTGGGGTTCCCCCCGATTTAGGCTTGCCATCCCTGTCGGCCCGAACGTTACTTCGACGAACATGGCAGGTCCCCTTCCTGGGCTTTCATGTTTGCTCAGGGGCCTAATACTTTAGTATGTTTATCCTTTAAAAAGGATTTAGGTTACTCTACGTATCTCCTAAACATATTTTGATCCTCAGGCTCACCTGTTCTACATGCGCATGGACTTCACGGATGTGATGATGGCCCACCCAGACGCCTGGGGCTTCCCTGACATTAGCAGGCCGGGACTTGCATTTCCCTAAACCCTAAACCCTAAACCAGGTTAGGAATTTATGACCACAATTGGAATACCTAAGCCCAAGAATCAAAGAGCATTCACCCTCCTAGGGTTCCTTTTAGAGTGCTGTTTGATTCTGTGTAACCTAGCTCTAAATTCGAATCTGCCCTAAACCGAGGGTTTAGGGTTTCATGGCAGAGTCTGGGCTTCGGATGCAGGTTATGGAGTCATGGAGGTGCCTCGGGGTGTGGTATGGATACAGGATCTCCATTCCTCAGGGTTTTTAGTCTAGGGTTTAGGGTTTAGGGTTTCTAGGTTTTAGGGTTTAGGGTTTCTAGGTTTTAGGGTTTAGGGTTTCTAGGCTTTAGGGTTTAGGGTTTCTAGGGTTTAGGGTTTAGGGCCAGTCCACCATGATTCTGACCAGCTGCACACCTGAAAATGAAATTGTCTGAGCGTCACGGAACACGACATCGCCTTGTCAAGTTGCACAGCTCCACCAAGACTCCATATGTTTGGGTCCGAGAACCTGAACAGCTCGTTCTAAACCCTAAGCCCTAAACTCTACGTCCGCAACACTAGACCCTAGACCCCTAAACCCTAAACCCAAAATGGTAGTTCATGGGACTCTAGTCCACCCTTCTACCTTCCGGTCCTGAATTCCAAACCCCGTAAATGTCCTTTTAGGGTTTAAGTTTTAGCTAATGTAGACCCATGATTAATAAGCCTCGTCTCTTGAAGGGCCCTAGTATTAGGATCCCTATTATAATCCCTACTAAGGGAAGAGGGTTTATTCACTAGGGGTCTACATTCTTTTGAACCCTCAACCCAGAGTCTCCACATTCAACTCCATTTTCTTTGCTTCATCCCTCAGCTCATGATTAGCTTATATGATGATACTAGTGCAGCTGTGTATAATATCATCCCATAAGGGTCCAAGGACCCAAATAATGGGGCTTTAGGTCCCAAATACCATTCACATTCATGGTATTTGGGCCTTATAACCCTAGTATTTGGGTCCTTGGACTCTGTATGTTGTCCTGCCATTACGATCACCACAGGGGCCCTATGGTTACTACTTCCTGTCGGTATCATCTTTGCACGGTTGCGATTGTTCTCCTAAACCCTGAACCCCAAACCCTGAACCCCTAAACTAGTCTGTTAGAAAGTTTGCACCTGCAGGGTGGTAGCTGCAAACCCTGGGGAGCCTGTGAATCCCTTCCACGGCTGGCGCCTGGGATTTCATAGGGTTTTGGGTTTTGGGTTTAGGGTTTGAGGGGCCAGACGAGTCAGTAAATGCTACTCCCTTCCCTGGGGCTCTAAGCGGACAAAAATGTGTACTTTGCAGCCTAAAGTCTTCGAATAACACCTGCTTTGAGCCGGACGGTCTGCAAATGATACCTACGTTGAGCTATCTAAGCTTGGCAATTGTTTGTTTTGGTTCCGCCCAAAAGCAGGAGGGGAGTTTCCTGCGCAGGGGAGTTTATACAAGGGGTATGTACTAAGGATATGGGAAGTTGTGTGAAGGGTGCATAAGGCTGACAGACTTTCCCGCCAGGCTCATGGGAGGTCCCTCTTGGGAGCTGGCCCTCTCTAGTTCCCCCAGGTTTTTCAAAGATTGCTGAACCCAATGATTCAGTCACCTATGGGGTGCAAGTGTACGAACTTTCTTCTAAAAGGTGTCCTAGGTTTACCACAGGAGTCTTGTTCTGATGTTGTATGCCCCAAGCCCTTAACCCTAAACCCAAGAGTACCCTAAAGCAGCCTGACGGCCCCGGTTCCTTAGGGCCATATATGAGCCGTAGTCTAAACTCCTTACTGCGGGTTATACAGGGGATTATGTAGGGGACTATTATACGGGATATTAAGGGGGATACTAGGAGCTTAAGTTATTGCGCATACTTGTTGCCCCGCAAGGGCTCCCTGAAACCCGGAAAGGAACCTGAAATATGACTTTCTCAAAACAATCCCTCAGAGGGACCCCATTATCTTCTTGTAATGTTTACGTGCCCCTACCCCATTTTGTGAAACTCGCTTGTTGAGTTCAGCTGTTCGTGAGGAGTGGGCATCAGATATGAACACTAAGGGTCCAAGGACCCACATAATGGGGTTTTAAGGTCCAAATACCATTAATGTTGCAATATTTGGGCCCTAAAGCCCTATTATTTGCGTCCTTGGACCCTTAGGGGAAGCAACTATTCAGGGTCTCGCATTTAATTAGGGTTTGGACTTTTGCGTTCAGGGTGTAGCGTTTGGTCTTCAGGGTTTAGGCTTCGAGTTTTTAGGGTAGAAAAGGGAAGACAGGATGCCTGCACTGGCGCCTATATCATCCTTAATCGTACCGTTGCGTCCTTTCCCTTTTGCCCAAGGGTCCAAGGACCCAAATAATCGGGTTTTAGGTGCATTGCCGACGAACAACTCTAAACCCTAAACCCTCCTCAGAGCGAGCGCGAGCAACTGGAAGGAAGGTCGCTTTGGAATGGCTCTTCAGAAAACGGGCAAACTCGTTCTTTGTGGTTTACCAAGGAGGTTGCGCCGCGAATGTCCACCTCGAAGTAATGTGGAGGTTTCCCAAAATTATGGGAATTTCGAGTCCCCCTGATTTTGGGAACTACCACGTAAGAGCCTTAAGAATGAAAACGGGGCTTGGGCTATAACTGCTATAAAGGAGGAGGAGGAGGAGGAGGAGTAGTAGTGGTAGTAGTAGTAGTAGTAGTAGTGGCAGCAGTCATTCAGGCTTCTAGAGTATCCACCTGGAGGTACTCCTGCTTGGTCTCGATGTAGTCCAGAGCAAGGTCGATAGATAAAGAGTCATTTACCTCTGGCATCGGGAGTTGGACTTTGAAGTCCGCATCCTTCCTGAGTTGTGCTTGTAGGCCCGTCAACACTGAGTACAGTCTTCTACAAATAAAGTCCTAAGCCCCTAAACCCTAAACCTTGCAAAAGTTTCAAATCCTGTTGCAGGGGATTTCTATAAGAAGGTTATAAAAGGTTACGCCGCAAAGTAAGCAATATCTATGAAATATTGATCCCCGAAGCGCCAACATACCCCTACATAAACCCTACCTAGATAGTCCTATATAGCTCTTCCCAAAATTAGGTGCAATTTTTTTGGGTGTTTTACAAAAAGGATTATAGTAACATTTTTGGGGTCTACATTAGAGGTCCCTACTTGGGGGAAAAACCGTATGACCAGGGTTGCAATATCTGGAGGTGTGCAGGAGGGATCCCTTTCTGGACGCTGTTTAGGGTTTAGGGTTTAGGTATTTTCCCTTTACCATTATCACTGCAATGACTACTGTGATAGCCATAGCAACCATCATCATGGTAATAGCAAGAAAGATCGCGATCATTACGATCAGGAATATTCTGACAAGAACTCATGTCACTACAGATATTCTGAATACTGTCATTAGTCTCTCATACAAATAAATCGACACGGGTTCCTTGTTAAGGAACCTATGAGGGACGATACTAGACTACAGGAGGGACCCCTATGTCCACTGTTAGCCCCTAAACCCTAAACTCTAAACCCGAAACCCCAAACCCCAAACCCCACACCCTAAACCCCAAACCCCAAACCCTAAACCCTAAACCCTAAACCCCTAAACCCCAGACACTAAACCCCTAAACCCCAAACCCTAAACACAGCAGAGGCCAGCCGCAGCATTCGAGAGAGGTCGCTCTGCACAAACCTTTCTGGTGGCAAAGGGTCCAAGGACCCAAATAGGGTTTAGGGTTTAAGGTTTTTTAAAGCCCAAATACCATTTAATATTTGGGTCCTTGGACCCTTAGGGCAAGGGATACCTTTCGTAGTGTAGGGTTCATGGTGTAGGGCTCCGCGAAAATAATCCCTGTACCCCATGTGCCTGAATCCTAGTAGCTTCCATTTTCTGCTCCATTCTCCACATCCCTCCCCTTAGGATCCATGTCCCTACGTGGTCTACACCTCGGTCCTTTAGGGTTTAGGGTTTAGGGTAGAGTACATATATGGGAACCCTGTTGGGCACCAATTAGATAGTATACATCCACATGGAACCTTCGGGTTCATTCCCTACCACTAACCCCCTACACCCTAAGCAAGTTAAAGGGCTTATGCTGTAAGGCTTAGAGTTAACCACGAGGAAGAAACGTTGAGACTTGATCCCGTATCTTCTTGCCAGCTATCTCCTCCAGCTTTGACTGGAAAAGCCAGGCACCCAAGTTCCTTTCTGGGTTGCTGCTAAGGAGCTTAATTCAAGTGACCACATTATGCATATATACTAAGTTACTATATAATCCGGTTTCCTTATTGTGGTGATTCGATTTGAACTCCTCAGCAGCAACCCAGCTTTCTGGTTTTAGGCTTTGGAGTTTAGGGCTTAAGGCGTGCAGTTTGGGGTATATGGGTTTATAGTATAGTTCCTTTCTGGTTTCAGCCTTTGGAGTAAAGGCCTGAGACTCGGCAGTTTGGGGTTTGAGATTTATAATTTAGAGTTTTCGGCTTAAGGTTTGTTTGAGCTTTAAGGTTTTCCCTAAACCCCTAATAGCAACTAAATGTGAGTAAGGTTCATGACCCAGTGGAAGTTGGAGTGGCTGAATGAGATCGATCCCAAATCAAGGTCCACATCCTCAAGTGTCGAGTCTCAATGCTTTGGGGTTGAGGGATGATTAGGGTTTGGGGTTCAGAGTTTAGGGTTTAGGGGAGGGTTCAGGGTCTTTTAGTTGACGCTGGGCATTTACTACTCAGGAGGATATATCATGCAGGCGGATTAGACCCTAAACTCCAAAGAGTATAGTCCCCCTTACGTAGATAGAATATGGGGTATATGGGGATCTTATTACACGATACCCAAAGCCACATTCTATCTACTTAAGGGGGACTATACTCACTGGGCAGGTAGGCATCCAACTGAGCAAGTTTGATTTCAGGGACGCCGTTCACGGCGCTCAGCTCGATGGATGCGCAAACAAAGCCTGTTTCCATTTATTGGTTTTAGGGTTCAGAGGTTTAGGGGTCTAGGGTTTAGCGTTTAGGTGTTTAGGGTTGGGGGGCGGGGTGGAAGCCAGGGTTTATGATTAAGGTTCAGGGTTGGTGTATTAAGTACAAAGACTCACAAAAAACTCCCTAATCCCTAAACCCTAAACCCTACACACTTTAACCATGAGCCAGCAGCCATCGGGCACCAGAACCTGGGTTGTAACTAAGTCACTGTAATTAATAAAAAAAAAAAACTAGTGTGTGTATATATATATATAATGTCTGTGCATATATATATAGAATATATATATATGTGTGTAGCATATTACCTGGTTCCCTCAATACAGTAACTTGAAACAAGTTCCTTTCACGGCAACCCAAAAGCATTTACCATTCCGGAATCTCTAAGCCCCTAAACCCCTAAACCCTAAACCCTAAACCCCTACACCACAGCGACCCAGAAGCATTGACCATTCCGGAATCTGTTAGGAAGTGCCACTTCGCGAGCCAAGCGGAGGAGACATTGGCCGTGATTCCTCTGGGTTTAGGGTTTAGGGTTCAGGAACTTAAATTAAGTTGCCATGATATGGGCACATAATAAATAATAGGGTTTCCATTATCATAGAACTTAAATTAAGTTGCCATAATATGGGTACATAGTAAATAATAGGGTTTCAATATCATAGAACTTAAATTGAGTTGCCATCATATGGGTACATAGTAAATAATGGGGTTTCTTTATCATAGAACTTGAAATAAGTTGCGGTCATATGGGTATATAGTAGATAATAAGGTTTCCCTATCATGGTAGTTTAATTTAAGTTCATTATCAGCAACCCAATCCTCTCAAGCAGAGCTGGAGGCCCTTGGGTACCTGGAAAATCATATCTGGCTGCTTCACGGCGATCTTGTTGATGTGAACATTCCACATTCGGTAGTTGATGTTGCTGTACGTCCCACTCGCGCCCTCGGTCAGTTGGACATCAGACAGACTCTGCAGCACATTTGGCAGGAGCTGGTGTGTCAGGTAGTCCAGGGCGTGCTGCGTGACGCGCATACGCAAACCCGGCTCAGTCCCATGCAGCTCGTGTGTTTCCACATCCTGGACGGCTTGCACTGAAGCTTTTGTCAGGACGAACGCAAGCAGCAGCAGCCGCCTCATGAGCATCATTGCAGCAGACAGCTGGCTGTCTATAATGGGTATGGCCACGACAAATTTAGGGCCAAAGCTTAACAGATTCAGCATCCCCTCCACATGAACCAAGTTAACCATGCATGATATCATGTTGAGGTCCATTTGAGGTACCCTTTACTATGATTCTAAGGAGGGATTCTTTCAACAGTAGTATTGGAAACGTTTTAGGCTTCTACACTCAAATCTTGGATACTTGATCGGCTGGCAATAAACTTCTGGAGGCGGTGGGCTTCAAGTCGTTCACTGCAGTTGGGCTTAGTGGTTTGGGGATAATCTGGAAGGTGCTATTATACTGTGGCTGTTTATTACTCTCATTATTTGGCTTGAGGCTTTTAGGATATTCAAGCTCCCGCCGCAGATAGAGTTTCTGCAGGAATCCGTGAAGCCTCAAACCCTCGGCCCCAAACCCGAATAAGATTGACGTGAGCCATAGTCTAAACTCCCAGTAACCTTCTTAATATGCCCCTTTAGTACTCTCCTACATATTCCCCTATATACCCCACTTTAAGGTGTTTAGAGTATGGTACACGTGGCATGGCTTAGGATGGCAGCTTCACTTTGCAGAGCCAAAACACTCCCGGATGCCAAGCAAAGATAGGGTTCAGGGTTTAGGGTTTAGGGTTTGGGGTTTAGGGTTTAGCCTCTCAACGTGACGATCCCTAAGCCCGAAACCCTTGAGACCCTAAACCCTAAATACCCTAAACCCTACACCCCTTAGTTCATGCTGAGGGAACACTTTGGCCCCAAGAATATACCGGATATCCACACCATGATCTCCAGTTTAGGGCTCTGGGTTTTAGGGTTTAGGGTAAGACCCGTGCATGACGTAACATGGTAGCCTTCCGAAGCTGAAGCTGCTGAACTCGCTAGAGTCCAGGGCTGTAGCTGCAGCTTCATTGGATTGATAACTGAGCTTCCTGGCGCCATAGTCCAAGCGAAGAGGCTTTCTTCTGAGAAGCAGGCCGCCACTCTCCAGCAGCGTGTGGGTATCCCCATGAAGAGTGCCCAGCAACAAGACGTCTCAAGTCAGCGCGATGGCTTGTAGTAGTTTCCATTTTCTTTTCCAGTATACCTATATAACCCCAATATATACCCCATTGGGCTTAGGGATTGTGATTGTGGCTTGGGATTTCGGGGCAGCTTACATATTTTGGGGGGTAGAACTCAGGGTTCAGGATCGGTGCATGTCTCGCAGTGCTTCGCAGTTACCTAGGATTCTGGCAAGCAACAATGAAAAGCACCTGCATCCTTCCTGTTCGAGGCAGTCTTACGGATCCCATCCTAAACTTACTGTTGCCACAATCTGGCTTGCTGTCAGGGAACTTTATATTCAAGGAGGAAACCCTATTGTTTTCGATACGCACAAATTGCAATAACTTGTCTTAGTGCCTTGCCGGCATCCCTGCGTACTGTTGCCACAATGCATTTTGCTCACCATCTTCTCTCCCCAGTACCATGTTAATGAAGGCAAACAAGAGGAATTATAGTAATCCCAACCCCGATAGTTAGGACCCTATAGCCCTAAGAGCCACACGATAGCCATAAGATCCTCAATTTCAAGGGTTTGGGTAGCCCAAATTCTTCCCAAGCATTGAATACTGCTAGCCCTCAACCCTTAACCCCTTAACCTTTGAAACCTAAGCTCGGTCACCAAAGTCTCATGGCTATGGCCACCCTTCCCCGCAGCTTCCGTCCTTTCTCCAATACTTGAGCAAATGGCTCCCATTTTCTGCTTTGAAAACTGGACTCGAGAAGTTGCCAATCCTAAGCCCTAAACCGAAACCCTAACCCAAAAACACAGAACGCTAGACCTTACTTTAAACCTTAAATCCTAACCTCTAAACCCTGAAGCCTACCTGGACATCGCAAGTACCCAGAAGGATGCCCTTTCAACGGTTTATATTCCCTAAGGGTCCATGTACCCAATAATCAGGTACTTGGGTTTTGGTAACAGTAATTCTAGTACAGGTTTTGGGCAAGTATCTGATTATTGGGTACCTGGACCTTTAGGGATTGTGGGATATATGAAGGTAGAGACCTCGCAAATACCCATCATAATAGCCTATACACCCAGAAAGCCCGATGTCCCTTGATTACGGAATATACCCTAAATGATACTAGGATCCCCAACATTGTTAGCGGGTTACTCCCTAGTTAAGGGACATTAGGTTTTCGGGGTACCCGTTTTTGGCGGGCTGATGGAGGCAATCATTATCGATGCTTGGTAGGCCCAGGTAAACCTTGAGGTGTACGCGTGGTCCGGGCAACATTTAGGGGCCCTGTGCAATTTGTTACTGTCATGGCTTCATTGGGTTCTATAGGGATTATGGTCCAACATGGTCCACAAATTACATTTACGAATGTTCCCCGGAATATCTCAGCGGTCAGTGGAAAATGGGAGAATGGATCCAAATAGCAGTCCCTGTATTAATCCCCAATATATTAAATATATTCCTAAACCCTAAAACCCTAAACTTTAAACCCTAAAACCCTAAACCCTAAACCCTAAACCCTAAAACCCTAAACCCTAAACCCTAAACCCTAAAAAACCCTAAACCCTATTCATCCCTACAGTCCATGCCTTACTGCTCCGCTAGCTGCCAGTGAGTAGCCCTATACTGGGTAGCTAACATACCATAATGGGTATACATATATGA